CTTTGTCAAAGGCCTTGCTGAAATCCAGGAAAACCACATCCACTGCATCCCCTCCATCTAGCCACCTTGAAACCTTGTCATAGAATTCCACAAGGTTTGTCTGGCCGGACTTGTTTTTGCAGAAACCGTGTTGTGTGGCCGCCAGCCTCCCTTCCCTATCTAGCATTACTAGATCTCTTGCTATTATGAGCCTTTCCATTGTTTTTCCTACAGTGGACATAAGGCTAACTAGTCTGTAATTCCCCATGTCGCTTCTACTACCCTTTTTGAAAATTGGGACCACTGATGCCACCCTCCAGTCCTCTGGAACCTCACCCGTTCTCCACGAGGTCTCAGAAATGGAGGCCAGCGGGCGTGAGAGAACCCCTGCCAACTCTGTAAGTACTCTCGGGTGTAACCCATCAGGGCCTGGCGCCTTTGTAATGTCCAGTGCCCTGAGGAGCCCCTCCACTTCTAGGGGGGTGACTCTAATCTGTGCCCCTAAGTCCCCGGCCTCATCTAATCTCCTATGCGGATCTCCCCCGTCCTGCTTTGGGGAGAACACAGAGGCAAAATAGTCATTCAGCATCTGTGCCTGTTCCCTCATATCAGTCACTGGATCTCCTTCCTGCTTATTCAGTGGTCCCACCACTTGTCTCCCCTTCCTCTTCCTATTTACATGCTGAAAGAAGCCCTTTTTGTTGCTCTTGATATTCTTGGCAAGTCTCAGCTCGTAATCAGCCTTAGCCACGCGAAGAATCCTTCTGCAACGGGCCTCCTCCTCCGTTTGTCTATTTGCCCCAGTGCCCGTTTCCTCCCGGCACCTGTGCATTTCCCCTGGACTAAGTGGGAACACTCGTTTTTGGAAGAAGGCAAGTAGGTGGAGCTCCTTGATGCAAGTTCTACGCACCTGTCCCTTCCAGGAAGAAGCATTTCTGCTCAGGTGGGGTTGCCCAAAGTGATCAGTCATTGCACGGGGGGAGGGGGCTCCTGCTTGTGCATGCAATCAGTGGGGGAGAAGAAAATTAGTAGGGCCGGAAGGACCCTGTTGGATTCCTCCCTATATCAGCCGTCAAGAAGTAGACCCTACTGTCCTTGCTACACAATACAGGTGGCAATGCAGTGAAATGAACACTTAAGAATACTTCCGAGAAATGACCTAGTTCAGTCTCTGCAGCTAAGCAAACCTATGAGAGGAAAGCCTCGGTGGGGGTGGATGGCTCCCGGCTCTGTTCTCCCAGAATCAGGAGAGGCTGCACAAGTGCTGGATCACAATCTGCGATCAGATGCCTGGGCAGGGAGTCCAGGGCAGGGAGTGGGGATCACACCCACCCACCCCGAAACCTGAGCACTGGCTGCTCGCGAGCCGCTGGGTCCAACTCAGGGCGCTGGAACTCCTGCACACTGGCTCAGGAGTTGAGTGCTGGAAGGCCAATCTCTGTAAGTGCCGCACGGGAAATCCACTGGAGCAGCCCCGGACGCGTGGGTCTCGTGGGCGCAGCCTTCTGGGTGGCAGCTCACTTGCTAAAGGACCCCCTACAGAGCTCTGATTGGTCCTCACATGGTTTGCATTTTGATACCGTTGGTGCCGCCTGCTGGCTCCTGTGTGGGTTCAACCAAAAGCCGAAGGCTGTTCTTAACCCTGCTGCTCGACATTCCTCCGTCTGTAGCTGATTTGCGATTTTATCTGTGTGTTTAGAACTGATGGTAGTTTTTAAAAATGGCGATGCTTGCGTGCCCTGGGCTCCTTTGAGACAGAAGAGCAAGGAATGAATACATATGTGTGATGAGTGATGCTCAAGAACCTCACTGAAAGAAAGTTGGAAAGCCTGAAAGTCTGCAAAGGAGGGCCTTTGCTCCGGTGCAGCAAACGCCCCATGAGGAAAGGGCTTCCTGGCGTGTGACGGCTGGTTGAAGCACTGGCTGGGCGCCATCTGCCCTATTATTTATTTATTTAAAGCATTTTTATGCCGCCCCCTTTGCAACAAGCCCCGGGGCAGCTTACAAAGCAAATGAACAAATGTTGAATAAACTTTAAAAATCCGGATGCATCTCGGCAGAGCTATAAAACCAATTAATAAAAACAGCAATTAACAGTTAAAATATAGTTTAAATAAAAAGGTCTTAGCCTGGCGCCAAAAAGCAAATAACGAGGGCACCAGGCGGACCTCTCTGGGGAGCGCATTCCATAGATGGGGCGCCACCGCAGAGAAGGCCCTCCTCCGGGTGCTCACCCTCCTAATGTCCTTCACAGAGGGCTCCCAGAGCAGGGCCTCTGCCGCCAATCTCAGAGGGCGGGAGGGCAGATATGCCCTATTACCTGCCTTGGGCTGGCTTGCTGTGGTGTCTGAACCCGGGCAGCACAGCTTGTTGGAGGACGAAACGGCCTCAAATAGCCCCACCACAGGCTAGAGGTCAGTTGAGGCCGTTCCCCCTTCCCACAGGCCACATTGCTTGCATCCAGGCATCATGACCAGCCCCACCCGGGCAGTGCAACTAGGGAAAAGGCCCTGGTGCACACCACAGCTTAAACAAGCCGCTGTGGTCATCCCCAGTAAAGCACACGAAGTGTGGTCCAGAGCTAAACCCAATAAGTAGTTGCAATCGTGCAAACTGGTCCGGGGAATGAGAACACATGGCCTCTGCAGCCCGTATTTTATGGCCCAGTCAGAGCCACCACCTCTGTGCACACACCACTGGGGCTAAGCAGGCAGAAGGGTTGGGGTTAGGGTCAGATGGCTGCCAGCCATCTTTGCATGGGGGGGCATCTCAGGACACCCTGTTCCAGATGGTCTGGGATTAGGGCAAAAGCAACAGCGTGCCTTCCATGCATTTTTGCAACAAAATTCCTACTGTTCTACAATCAATGGATGATTTTAGTAAACAGTCCCCCACCCCCCCGCAAAAAAGTTATGCTAATTTTATATGCTGTCTAATCAGAAGTAGTTCAAACTGAGATGTCTGATTAGGAATCCCCCACATGATATAAAGTGTACTTAGTGTGATTTAAATGTCATATTTCCATAAATTTAAAAGCTTATATTGGAAATTATTCTTACTAGAATACTCATGGGACGACTCAATCACATAGACTTGCTTTAGATTTTAAGTTTATGAAAACTGGATAATTGTAACGGGGATATTTTCCCCTCCGCTTCACTGAGCACAAGGAACTACCTTTAAGAAAAGCTGATGTGGCTGACGGAGTGCTGTAGGGGACCTTTGTTTGAAAAAGCATGATAACACAATCCCTTTGGAGAAGGGGCTTGTAATGCTGCTTTTCTTCTTCTCAGAGGCAGCATATCCATTATGAAAGTGGCAACTGCACTATCAGCAATGGGTTTGTTTTGTTCCATGAGCAAGAGAGTTAAGGCTAAATAAAAATATTATATCAGATTATAAAGTCAAAACATACACCCTGGAATTCAGAGCCCGGTAACCCAATAGTATAACTTTATCCTATTAGTTAAACAAATTTAATCCCCTCATGATTGCCACCATCTACAACCTGGGAAAGAATCTAGGTGGTCCAGCACTGGCACTGGTTCCTCTGCAACTCTGAGTGCCAGAAGTAATCTCTGAAACAAAGGGCGCATTCGTGACAGAAACGCCCCGCGTTTTGGTTTCCTGAATAAGCTTAGTGTTTACAGCTGGACTCCAGAGAAAGACGTTTCTGTGCATCAAGACAACTGCTGATAATGCAAGGCCAAGTATCAAAACGTTTGCCTCATCCCCTACAGTTGCATAAATTCAGTATAATCCTGAAACCCACGGGCAAATTACTGGGGTGGAAGATGTAATTCTAGTCCTTCCAAAGGGGGCCTCTATTCCAAGCATGATCAATATCCACATCAATCCACGAACAGTCCTGTCTCTCAACATTCTTTCAAATTTATGAATGAAATCAAATTTAGATTTTAATTATAGAAGGTCAGAAAAAAGAGGGACATTAAGTTGGTAAAAAGATAATTTTTCAGATCAACTTCAGGGAAGGCAACTTGTGGTTCCCAAGGAAGTTTCTGTCAGTCCTGAAGGGCTTGAGAGCACGCTGAGAATTGTCGCCCTCACCATAAAGTTTGCTTAAACCATTTCTGAAAGTCTGACAACGCGGTGCTAAGCAAAAACAAAAAAGTTCAGGAAGAAAACTTATATGAAATGAAACGTGCTTATGTTTTACAGTCGCCAAACTTGATGACAAAGTTTCAATTCTGCATAAACCAGGAAATGACAATGCAAATTGTGCACTTTTAGGAAAGACTATAAAAATCAGTCTGTAAGCAGAATATGGGCGTAGCTGGCCTTGACCATGTCCAGAGGCATGGCCTTGAAGCCTTAATGGAATGCATAAATTATGTCAGGGATCAAAGGCAAGCAAAGGGAAAAACCCAAACAACTTGAATGGAAATAGCAAAATGGAAAGGGAGTGGGGAAAAAGCATGATAAGAGCCTTGGCAAAATCAGGGGGTCTATTTGTAATGACTATTCATACAGTGATTACTGAGTGCTGAGCTGGTCACTTGCTAAGTCATTCCTCTCATTGGAGGAAGACTGCATGATTCCCTGGATGCCTGGAACCATGTCGTATGTTCAGCCTATCACATGGCAATCGCTCTTATCGCACAATAAACCACGCTGCATGAATCAGCTCCATTGTTCATCTTGATCTGCTGGAAGCTCTCCGATGCTCTAACAAACCTAACCCTTTTTCTGGACTCAGTGCTGGCACAGCCTTTTACTAATTCCTGCTCTGTACCACGTACTTGCTCTGAGCCAGAGAAGACGGCAGACTGTGGTCAGAAAGCTCCATCTTTATATCTCTAAGGGCAGAATTCAACTGCCCCCTTAAGTGCTTTTCCTACCATGTCCACAGACTTCTAACATAGTTCATAAATACTCCAACAAAAATCAACATGCCGAGCTAGAGGACACCTCCGGGTCACAAGGACATCCTAACCAAAGCAAATGTGCGTTGCTGTGGTTGAACTTAGAGGCACTTTCTAATCTTCTGGACATTAAGTTACCTTTTCTGCTACTCCGTTTTCCGTTGAATAGATTGCCATTAGCTCCGTGTCTTCCGTATCCTGATCACCACTTGAAGTTGCTCCACCATTTATTACGACCTAAGAAAAACAAAGCACTCCAGTCGTTTGGATAAGACACACTGTATTCTGAACAAAAAGAACCGCACATTTTTAATTTACGGAATTCTGTTAGAGAAACAAATACAATTCCCATATGGGTAGTGCATAGTTGACCGAGTGCAAGATGCATGACGGATAGCACTGCTATTGATGAACAGGATGGCAATTTTTACATCGAAGGGACTTAGGCGCCAACACCTCCCAAAATGACAGAAAAACACAGGGAAGGGTTTGCTATGCCTCTGCAGAGAACAGAACCAAAACGGCTGAAAGAGCATTAATGCCCGGTCATGTGCCTTTCACATCATTTTTGTTTTAGTCAGTTCCCCTGGAAAAGTATTTCAGGCTAAGCTTGAGCAGGGCTGACAAGAAAGCAGTTATGTCTTTGCCCTGTGGGAAATGCGCAGCCTCACCAAGAAGAACTCAGCCTGGGTGATGTACATGCACTGGCCAAATCTTCGCTTCGCTAATGTTTCAGTACTATCCAAACAGTGACCTGTACATGCCCTGACATTTGGGAACATAAGAAGAGCCTGGATGGGTAAATTCAAATACATGGTTAAATACGTTTGACGTTCTGGTTGCCCTCTTCTGCATCCTTTCCAGCTCTAAAACATCATTCTGAGGTTGGGTGACCAGAACCCAACAGACCTTTGATTTATGTAATTTTGCATTGTCATTAGCACTGCATACGATTGTTTGTTTATTGGATTTCTATCCTGGCCCTTCAGTCAAAGTGACTCAAGATCGTTTAAAGACCCCCATCTATGTTAATGAGTCAATTCCAGCCCATGGGGGATGGGTCTGGTCACTTGGGCAATTCAATCAACAAATACAACATTTTATCTGTTAGCTGAACAACAGAAGTCATTCACAGGAAGGAGTTTCAAATTCATTTTCTCTTGAACTCCTCTCTATGCCAAAAATATATCCTGCTCTTTCCTTCAAGAGATTCCGTTTAGCAGGATAGCTTTTGCGACAAATCTCTTTAACAGAACGCCAAAGCTGCAGGTTCAAGATGGCGCCTGTAACACTGGTGGGGGCTGTAACACAAATCACTGTGTGTCCATGCCAACTGTGTGTCCATGCCAAGCTCCACAACCCCAAAAGGAAGTCCGTTCAACGTTTCACATTTTCAACTTACCGGTAATGTGAAGAAAGCAGGATGCTTGGACTCCTCTTCATATTTGCTTTCTGTTGGGCTTCCATTTTCTACTGATTTGGAAGTGGTGTTTTTGCCAATCCCCATGGCTCCCCACAACACGCAGAAAATTCACGTGGTCTCGAAGTAGTATCAGTTTAGGAGAGGAGTTCTCAATAAAAAGACAGCACCTCAGAAGTCAGAAGAGCATTGCGGGGATTCGCAATGGAGCACAGGGTCTTGCAAGGAATATGTGCTGCTGTGGAGCCTAGAAATGAAGCCAGGAAAGAGCAAGAGAAATTGTTGTTGCCAGTCGCGAAGTCGCGTCTGACCCATCGCGACCCCATGGACAACACTCCTCCAGGCCTTCCCGCCCTCCACCATCCCCCAGAGTCCACTTAAGCTCACACCAACTGCCCCAGTGACTCCATCCAGCCACCTCATTCTCTGCCGTCCCCTCCTTCTTTTGCTTTTAATTGTTCCCAGCATTAGGCTCTTCTTCAGGGAGTCCTTCCTTCTCTTTCTTTCTGTCTGTCAGTCTAGAGCATTTGTATGAGGTGGCCAAACTATTTGAGTTTCATCTTTCGCATCTGGCCTTCTAAAGAGCAGGCAGGGTTGATCTCCTCTAGGACTGACCGGTTTGATAGCCTTGCGGTCCAAGGGACTCGCAGGAGTCTCCTCCAGCACCACCATTCAAAGGCCTCAGTCCTTCGGCGCTCAGCCTTCCTTATGGTCCAGCTGGCACAACCATGCATTGCAACTGGGAAAACCATAGCCTTGACTATACGCACTTTTGTTGGCAGGGTGATGTCTCTGCTTTTTAGTATGCTGTCTAGATTTGCCATAGCTTTCCTCCCCAGGAGCAAGCATCTTTTAATTTCTTAGCTGCAGTCCCCATCGGCAGTGAACTTGGAGCCCAGGAAAATAAAATCTGTCACTACCACCATTTCTTCCCCATCTATTTGCCAGGAAGGCAAGAGAAACACCGCTCTGCAAAATAACTCCATGAGACATGTGTTTGCACTGTAGTAAGCTCACTGAAAGTCAAAATTATGGGAATTTAGTTACACCAAGAATGTCAACCTATCAGCAAGATTTCTCTACAGGAAACAGTCAATTGCAACCTTCCCCTCTATAGCACTGATGGAGGACCCCCAAACTCTTGTGATGGCAGTGAGAGGAATCTGAAATGTCTTTCAGGGCAGATAATAGCTACATGCTCTGTTGTTGTTTTTTATCACGTAGCCTAATGCTGGACACATCTGTCCCCTCTTCCTGCCCTTTCTCTACTGTGGCTTTCCCCAACCTGCTGTCCTATAGGAGTGCTGCGTACAACTCAGATCCAGCACACCTGGAAGGACCCAGGTAGGGGAGGGCAGTTTTCCCCACAGGAGTTTAACATTGTAAGCCACGCACGGCAGGGGCCTAGTACTCGGCCTGTTATACCGTGTCCACTGAAGTCCCTAAGATGTAACAATAATTGTTAGCAGCAGCAAACTGACCCGAGCGCTCACATTCCTCCTTCTGCTGCAGCTAAGCTTTTCAAAAGAAACAAAATAATCACGGCAAGCTAGTGTTGGCCTCACTATGGCAATGAGACTAATCAGGGGTAAAGAACAGATCTTTAAAGCACAGATCTCATTTCAGTCTAAGACAGGGATGAGCAAAAGTGAAGCCTGCACACCTGGCCCTGGAAAAATCAACAAGGATCTCCCAATTCCCCCACAAAATGATCATGCAAGCCCAGACTTAAGCAATTGTTTCTAGCCGTTCCAGTGACTAGTCAGCGTTCATAAACAACTTCAAAGCAGACCCCGCAAAAAGTGCCAGGTTGCCTGCCGCCGCTGGCATTGCACAATGCTTGCGCCTCGTTCCGAATTCCCTCCACAGCCAGAGATTTCTGCGCAACAACAGTGCCACTTTATTCTACCTCAGAGCATCCATGCAAGCCATCTCTTGCTTTCAATTAACTTGGCATGAGGGTGATATTGAAGTCCACGGCTTTTTACACAGTCTCTAAATCCTTGAGGGGTTGTGCAGGGTTGAAATGAAGGCAACGATGCTTAGGGCAACACAGAGCAAATGAAGGTTTTGGAACTACGATGCCAGAGGGAATAGCTAGAAAACTTAAGTGCCAAGGGCAGAGGTCCCCAGACTAAAGCCCATGGGCCAAATTTGGCCTGCCATGCCCATTTAACTGGCCCATCCCACAGGTTCCGCACTCGCTGGGTGTGTGCAAGCGCACAGCTTGCTCACAAGGAGGTCATTTTGGACTCCCTAGGAGAAAACCATCTCCTCGTGAGCAAGCCGGCACCTCATCCCGCGCGCCCCCGCCTTGCCTGCGCGCGCATGCAGATGCGCCCCACCCCCCACACCGGCCCTTGTGCCCCCCCCACCAGCACCCCCGTGCCCACTGCTGGCACCTGTCAACTGGCCCCCCCTTGAAAACGTTTGAGGACCCCTGGCCAAGGGAGTTTGACTGCACACAGTTACACCAGGGGTCAGGTCGGGTTTTGCCTAAGCCCCGGGCCTGGCAATTCACTCGCTCGCTTGCCTACAGGTCAAAACAGTAACAAAGGGCTCTTAGGACTGGTAAGGAAAACAAGTAGCCAAGTGCACCCTGGAGCACCCCAGAGTGGCCCCTGCTGACTCCGGTTGATCCCAAAATGTCTGGAAAACAATGGCAGCGAAGCACTATGGAGATCATGACTGGCACCGTTACCTTCTTTTGAAACTCTGCCCCCAGAGAGTCCCTGGAGCTGCATAATTACACTAAGGAGCCACTTAGCTTCCAAACATTGCCATTCATAAGCTCCACAAAGTTAGCCATCAAAAGCTGGCCCTGTGGCCATTTTAATGGAAAAATCGTCTGCCCAAGGGCATGCAGCGCATGGGAGAGTTTGCCTGAAGTTGCCCACACACTTTTGGGCTTTCCTTCCGGGGAAAGGGCAGTAGTCTGTGGCACAAAGGGAAAGAGCAAAGGTCCCTCATGCTACAGAAGACGTGCCTCCGGGTTCTGGCCATCTGTGCAAAGTGGCAAGGCCAAGACCGCCTGCCACCATCAGGTACCTAGAGGAAGAACAGGCGGAGCCAGAAATAGCAATGTGTAAATCCTTTATTCAAAAGGCAGAGTAAAGAGGATTTCTTACAAAAGGCAATCAAGAGCATAAAACCTTATGCTCATTGGCATGGGCTCAAAACTTAGCCTGCGGCATTTTCGGCTAAACTTTGAGGTTTAGGGCATGAATGGCCATTGTGAAATCACCATGAGAATTAAATCCTAGTATAATCTCACGAAATAAGGCGTTTCCTCTCTTCTCACAAAAGCTTGCCTAGAAGGAATGAGTAAAGGCACCTGGAAAGCTTGGGCCAATGGGCAGCCAGGAGGAGATGGTGCCCAAAAAACCCTCTCAGTGGTTGCAGTGGAGGCCCAAACATGCCAAGTGTTCTCGCCAGGCTTGCTGGAGCGTTCTCTGCCTCTAGGTGTTGCTTAGGGTTGGGGTACCATCATGGGACATGGTCTAGCTAAACATTTAAACCTCTGGCTAACTATAGCCGCTTCGGAACTACATTTCTGTTACCTAACCCGGGAAAAAAAAGGATGCCCGGAGGAAAAGCGGGCCTCAGCCATCTGCAAGAGATTCGCAGGACGGAGCCGGAGGGGAGAAAAGGCGCAGGGAAGCAAAGAAAATCAAATGACTTGCCAGCAGATACTTGCAAAGAGGGAAGCAGGGAAGGAGCTGGTATCAGTTTCCTCAGGTTTGGCCAAGGTACACTGGCCAACAGACTAGGAACATCTGAAGGACATTCCCGATTAGCAAAACAAGGGCTCTTTTAACTTTTCAAAACAAATGAAGCAGATAATGACTGAACTTTGGCAAAGCCCCCAAGTGGCCTGGACAGTTAGATGGCAGGGCTGCTGCCACCTGGCGCAGTTAATACAATGCTCGACTCATTTCAAAATAGCAGCTTTTGAGTGCTTTTTGGCACCGTTTTCCTCCAGATATTGTCCCAAAAAGCCTGGCTAGATTACGGATTCAATACTGTTGTTGTCTTTTTGGCCCTCGCCTTATCAAGCGAAAAATACTGCAGATAGATCACAGGCAGAACTCTTCTGTGCAGCTAGAAGTAGAAACAGCATTTCTAGCAACACCGATTATTTATGAAAACCAACAGTCAATTCACATGTTACCTGCAGAACAAGTAAAAGCAAAAATTCAAGCAGTCACTTTTATTTGCACCAGACAAAACAAAACACACTCATAAGCTTGGGAGCTGAGAACAGATGGTAAAGGCTGTGAATCCCCTAACCTTTTTATTCACCCAGTTTCCTAACTGTTAGATTGCATTTTTACCACTTACTGTTATGCACAGGCACTTTGGAGTTTCTAATTCTGTTATTTTAAAATTGTTTTTATTGCAACTGTTGTAAACCATCATGAGATTCACTAGACTAAGGAAGTGTATAGAAAAGTTTCAAACAAACAAACAAGTAAATGTTATTTATAAAGTGTGTTCACTGTTTCTTTATAAAACTGAGCCACCTTACAAAAACAGAAGGAACTGCTAAAATATAGCAGAAGCTGCAGATAATCCGTACGATTTGGGCAGCAGGCCGGCCTCAGTGCGATCCAGCATGGCTCTTCTCACACCCTTCAAGCATGCAACTCCTGGACCTCCGCAAATGCCCCTGCACGGCGCAGAGCGCGCAAGCCAGTCCCCTGGAGCCCCTCCTTCGGTGTGAGCATGCCCTGCGCGCACTTCAGGAGCACGGCTGCATCCGCGAGCCTTCGGAAGGGGCACTGCCTACTTCCGACTGAAGCGGCCTCGCCCAACACTTTCCATACTAGGTATCATCCCTGCATTCGGTCCACCAAAAGTGAACAGGTAATAACATCAAAGTGTTAAAAAGAAAAGCATGTGGGGGCTACAATTAGCCCCTTGGGTACAGTGGCTTGAAATGAAAAATGCAGAGTTAATTTCTGTGACAGGTTTTATACATGCACAGGCTATTGTAAACTGCCCAGAAAGCTTCAGCTGTTGGGGTGATACAGAAACAAAATAAATACCTGTTTCTTTCATATGCACTTCACAGGATTCTGCAGCCAAGGAAGGTCATTTTGGAAAACACTATCCACTTTTTCTTTCAGCACTTTTTCTCACCTTCAAAATGGAAAGTTTTTGTCCCAGGCCCTCTCCGGCACCCTGCTCCATCTTTTCCCCCAAGACACACACAGTCTTAGAGTTTTGGCCCAGTAGCATCAGCTCCGGGCCATCTCTCACTGAGGCTTCCCTTCGAAGGGCAACAGCCCCAAAGAATGGCACTTTCCGAGAGCATTCAAAAAGCACTGCATGCAAGTCATCCTGCTGCAAGCCTTAATCATTACAACTGCTCCCATGCTGCAGACAGAAAGACTGAGGCAGGGAAAGCATGGCTTGCTTGCAGCTCCCCAGCAAAAGTACGGCCGAGGCAAGTTAGCAACCAGGGACTCCTTGGTTTGCAGCTCAGACAAATCAAAGTCTCCTGACCTCTCCAACACAACACTTTCAGTAACTAGAGACCTGTTTTCATTGCACCTCTGTCCTGGGACTTTTTAGTGAGGGACGGTATATAAAATCTTTTTATTAATATATACATATCTCAGAAGACAGAGCTGGGGTAACAGAGTTAAACGTCTCGATGAGAGAGAAGGGAAAACGAAAATCCACATGTATGGAGTAGTAGCATTTTCAAAAGCAAAACTCAGTCTAATGTCTGATCTGCATATAAATTTAAGTCCGCATTCTCTAGCCAGAATTTTTGGATGCATTTGTTCCAACTCCTATTCAATTAATTGCTTACCTCAAAACACTGGCACAACTACCAGAGCCAAAACACCGTCTCCCTCCAGCTGCAGAGATTATTCTATAGCAACAAAGACATAGTGAGGAAGGATTTTATATTCCAGATATTGTGTAATTTGTACTTTATCCAATCAGAAGAAGTGCTTTGACATTACACAACTCCTAAAAATACCAAGACACACCACATGGTCACAAGGTGTTACTACATGCCTCTGACGTAGCTGGAAAAAACTCTGAGCAAATACTGCCATAGCAAAAATACAGATGATCCATAAAAGCTAAAGTAAGCAAATATTGCGGGTTTAATTTCTCTGCAGATCCTGAGAGAGTTGTACCTACTAGAAGGTCAGGAGGAATGAGAAACACAGAAACAGACCAAGTCAGAAAGGGCCTCTCTGGCCATCTAGTCTGACCCCTGGCTCCAGCTGGCTCTGCTAACAACATGCCCGCCATGTGCATGTCCAGCCTATCCTTGAACACCCACACCGATGGGGCCTCAACCACCTCCTGTGGAAGCCCATTCCACACCCTTGGGGTCCCAACCATCAGGAAATGCTTCCTGGCATCTAAATTGAACCTTGGTTCCCTGAGCTTTGCTCCTTTGGAGCGCGTCCTGCCTTCTTCCGCAGGGGAGAACAGGTCCCTACCCACCTCCGTGTGACATCCCCTCACATCCCTGTATGTCGCCATCAGATCCCCTCTGAGTCTCCTCTTCTGCGGGCTGAAGAGACCCAGTCCCCTCAGTCTCGCCTCATACAGCATCCCCTGCAAACTGGCCACCAACCCTGTGGCCCTACGCTGCACTGACTCCAACCTGGCCATATCCTTCCTGTAATGAGGGGCCCAAAACTGCGCACAATACTCCAGTTGCGGACGCACTAGAGTCGTGTAGAGTGGTAGCAATACCTCTCTTGATCTAGAAGCCACACTTCTGGCTATGCATCCAAGGGTGGCGTTCGCCCTCTTGACCACTGCATCACACTGCTGACTCATGTTCAGCCTGCAGTCGACCAGCACCCCGAGGTCCCTTTCACAAGTGCTGCTCTCCAGCCACTTGTCCCCTAACCTGTACTTATGACACCCATTCCTATGCCCCAAGGGCAAGACCTTGCACTTATCCACACTGAACGCCATCCTGTTGCATCTTGCCCACTTCCATAGTCTGTCCAGATCCTTTTGGATCTGGAGTACCTGCTCCTCAGTTGTGGCCAATGCTCCAATTTTAGTGTCGTCTGCAAATTTGATCAGCAGACTGTTCACCCCTTCTTCCATGTCATTGATGAAAAGATTAAACAGGGTCGGCCCCAGGACAGAGCCCTGGGGGACCCCGCTTTTCACCGGCCGCCATCCCGATGATTCCCCACTAATGGTTACCTTCTGCTTTCAGTCAGTCAACTATGCCCTAATTCACCAGACAGGGCATTGGTCTATCTCAAAACTCCTCAGTTTCTCCACCAGGATGTCATGGGGCACTTTGCCAAAGGCCTTGCTGCAATCCAGGTAAACCACATCCACTGCATCCCCTCCATCCAGCCACCTCGAAACCTTGGCATAGAATTCCACAAGGTTTGTCTGGCGGGACCTGTTTTTGCGGAAACCATGTTGTGTGGCTGTCAGCCTCCCTTCCCTATCTAGCATCACTAGATCTCTCTCTATTATGAGCCTTTCCGTTGTTTTTCCTACAATGGATGTAAGGCTAACCGGTCTATAATTCCCCATGTCCTTTCTACTACCCTTTTTGAAAATTGGGACCACTGATGCCACCCTCCATTCCTCTGGAACCTCACCCGTTCTCCACGAGGTCTCAGAAATGGAGGCCAGCGGGCGTGAGAGAACCCCTGCCAACTCTCTAAGTACTCTCGGGCTTAACCCGTCAGGGCCTGGCACCTTTGTAATGTTCAGTGCCCTGAGGAGCCCCTCGACTTCTAGGGGGTGACTGTAATCTGTGCCCCTAAGTCCCCGGCCTCATCTAATCTCCTATGTGGATCTCCCCCGTCCAGCTTAAATCACCTCCTCGAATGGACAGCTGCCCAGTGCGGAAGAACGGTTCCATCAACAACAAATCCATCTGTTCTAGCCATTCATCTAATCTTTACAATATTCTTTAGATCAGGGCTCCTCAAACTTTTTAAACAGGGGGCCACAAAAAAGGTCATTAAAATTTAGTTGTTTATGTATTCCAAACTACAGTAAATTCCTATGTACAGGATACTGTAAAATTCAGCATTTCCAATACTGTTATAAACCTTAACTTGGTACTAAAATATGCTGCCAGCCCTCAATATTGTGTTGCGAGACTGCTCCTGTCCGTTTAAATGCATGTGTTTTCAACAAAATATGTGGTTTCCACCACAAAACTGCAATGACTAAGATACTTTGGCTTAGGGGCTATAAGGTGGTACCCTTAATAATGAGCTCAGTCTGTTCCTTCTTTCTAGTACAGGCAGTCCGTGTGAACAACCTGCACTTAAAAAACAAACAGCCATAAAACCTATTAATTTTAAAAAATTACTATGGAACTATCATCGTCACAGAAATAAAGGAAGCAAAAAGGGAAGGAAGGAGGGCCTCCAAAGCACCAACATGGTGATGGGGGACCAGACGGGGAGAGAGGGAAGGCTCCAGCCTTTCCCCTCTGCCCTGTTCATCCAAAGAGGAAAATCTCTCCGGCATCTCCCTGTTGCAAAGAGGAGGCACTGCTGGGTGTAGAGATATTTGTGGGTTTTCCACTTTCACAGGGGTCCTGTGCCCCTAACCCCCACATACAAATTCAGTTGAAAGATGAATTTTCATTTTCGCAGGAATGGAGCTCATTCGTAATCCTGGGATCACCTGTATAGGATATCATCACACCCGTCCTTGTACAGACCAAATCCCTATTCTGCACACACCCATTTTGCAGGAAGACCCCCTTAGGTTAACGGGACACTCCCAGGTTTTTAGCAGGGAGGAGCAACTGAGGGTGGTCCAGAAACTCCAACTCACAACGGCCAGTATTCCTCCCCATTGACTGTGGCAACTAGTGTGATGGGAACTGCCAGGCAGAACCGCTGGTAGCACAGATCTTACCCACTCCACCTCTGGAGTGTGATGGGGCCGTGCCAAGCATAATATGATTCCAGCCATCATATTTCCATTAGGAAAAAGAGGTGTATCAAACTGAATTGGCATTTTCAATTATGGGGCATTTGCTCTAGCAGGACAACGCTGCTTTAATGTTTGGATTTATTTTTACTGGCACTCCGGGAAATTTCAGCTTTGTGCTACACATTTCGTGCAGCACAGCTTAACATCCTAAAAGCTAATAAACTCTTTAGTGGGTCGGGTGCCGCATGCTAACGGGACGAAAGCTCCGTTTAGCAGAGTGGGTCCTACTTCTGTGTTATCATGCAGAGGAAGAGTGACACTGGGAGGATCATTACTATAAAAGGCAGCCTAGAAAAATATTTAAATACACAGGATTGCTCTGTAAATGTCATTAAAAAGCCCAGCCGTCGAATTTTATACACTAAACTGTAAATGAAGCTTTTTAATATTTTCAATGTGCAAATTTGCTAGGAAAGCATTGCCTCTATCCCCCTCCTCAAAAAACGAAAACCACAGAAAACAATGCAGCTAATACGGACGTATAGCAAAAGGCCTTTTATTTAAAGAAAAATCTGGCCATGGTAATCAATTTGACATACAGCTTCCCATGCACAGTAATATAACACTTAAGGGATTGCTTCATAAATAATCCCCTATGGTATAAAGCAGGATTAAAGTTGTGCTGAACAGAAGCTCCAACACAGTTTGCTGACAACTCAAGTTACTACAGCAAGACGAAAGGACAGCCCAGAACTTAGTATTTTGCAATCACGAGCTCCTGCCTGTGAATTTTTTCTTTAAAAAATGTTTGAATCCAGACCCTTAGAGGCAAAAATCTCCAAACCCCTATCTTTAATCTATGCTGCCCAAGAAGCCATTAAACAGCAGACAAAAGGAAAATTAAGTGGCAAGTAGAGGAAAAGAGCACTCATCCATCATCATTTTGAGGGGTCTAAATACACATCGGATTCTACCTTAAGTCACTTGAGAATTGAAGCCATATTCTGAACAGATTTAAGTAATATACACAGCCCAGTGTCCACAATTCACTTTACTGGGAAAATACATGGAGATTATTAATGCTTGTCTCCCTGTAGAAATGTCTGAAGAAGACTTCAATTCACTGTGAATTCTATATCCATTCCCCACTCCCCACTGTGCAATTATACAAGACCTACACAATAATTAATGCAAATTGCAAGCCACACAGATTTAATTGCTGATTTCAGAGAAAAGACATCATGGCAAAGTATTTTCATTCTACTTCTAAAGAAACTGGACATACACACAAGTGTTGGTGCTACAAATCATTTGCTCCTATGTACTCTTAGAAGAGACTAACATCAAGAGTATGAAGGACAGCGTCTATTGATGAAGTAGGTGATCCAAGAATGTCTGGAAATAGCAAGAAGTGCCTAGGTTCACTACCTCCTTTCCTTAGGGAAACCAGGTAAGGCGAGTCCACTGTAAGCACAGAATTCATGGTTCACACGCTGACTGACTGCAACAAGAGGTGATTTACAAGGAAAAAGCCTCGACCCCCCCACTAGCCAGTGGCTCAAAAAGCTTTGAAACGGATGCCTGCAGAAAAAGAGGGGCCCCACTGGGACGCTGGAGAGCACTCTGGAGGGGCAACTCCCAATTCCCCACAGGAAGGGGTGAGACGGGGGCGAAAAAGCACTAAGAGATCCTGCATCAGGGATTCTGATGGGCCGAAACTGCCACAGAGTGCAGGGGGTCAAAATGTACACACATTTTAAGGGATGCTATCTATGTATTACTTTTCAAAATTGAATTATGGTAGCAATGTGTAGTATGCCGTTTGCTCAAAAGATGGCGTTAAATGAATGTTAGTGTTACCACGCGACAGTTTTTAATACAGTTTTTTCCTTTCTTAAAAGGGGTGTGTGTGTGTGTGTAGGTACCCTCTGTATATCCAGAGAAATGAGGACTTGAAGTACATTTTGCAACAGGCAATGAATCAGGTTGAACTTGACCCTAATGGCCCCAAATGAGAATGATTTCCATGTCACTGAAGTCAAGCTACTCTCCCTCATGAAGAAACAGAAAAATCAGTGCCAGTGCTATCTGTAAAGCTTCCGTGCTGCACTGAAAGAACTGACATGTTTAAGCTGCTGAATCAGTCAAACTCCAGCATCCTGTTCTGGCCCAAGAAGTGTCTGTGGGAGAAAATGTCGTGCAACGGATGAGACGGATCTGGCAACATTACTCCTTTGGAGAGAAGCAGATCTGCTAGCAAATTCAGCACTGTCAAAGAAGCTGTGGTACCGAGCACCTCTAAAGAAGGATGTTGA